CCCCATAAAAAACACAAAAAACAACCCCCAGACGGAGCGTGACTACGAACAGCGCGCGTGCCGCCTCCTGGAGTTGCTCCCCGGCCGCGGCAACAAGGCCTTCTACACGCTGATGGAGATCCTGGAGGTGACCAACCCCTGGCTCACCGAGAAGATCAAGGCGGCGCTGCACGAGGAGAGGAACAGGGACTCCAAGATCAACATACACCCCTCTGTCTCACAGAACGGTAGGCTACCATGGGGTTTCTATAATGTTATATGGTCGCTTTTAAGCACAAGGGGGCTATCCAGAAAAATACTGTTTTGAGAAAATCGAAGGTAAAGTTTTTGCCCCTTGTTCAGTTTTTTTAAAAGACAAGGAGAGTTTTCTCTCCAACCAAACAAATATACACACACCAATGAAGCCAAACTTCTCCTATAGGTAGGGAAATGCCCACTTTTGGTGTAGGTCAAGATTTCTGGAAACCCCCCAAATCTGGGTTAGCCCGCTTGTCCTTAAAAGCGACCATATATCATATCATATTATGATCAAGGCGGCGCTGCACGATGAGAGGAACAAGGACGCCAAGATCAACATACACCCGTCTGTCTCACAGAACGGTAGGCTAGGGATTTGTATAATATTATTGTGTCGTATTGTGTCGTGTCGTGTCGTGTCGTCTCGTGTCTTATTGTGTTGTATTTTGTTGTATTGTTTTATATTGTATGGCTCTTTTCGTCAATGCAGACGGTCAATTTAGCTTAAGATGGTCTCAAGGTTGTCTTCATGCAGCTTCTTTCATGGATAATTTTTCCTATGTTTGAAGCGCAGATTCTGTCGTAGAGCTTGCATTGTACTGTATTATTATATCATATCATATCATATGGCATCGTATCGTATCATATCACATCATATATCATACCATGATCAAGGCGACGCTACACGAGGAGAGGAACAAGGACGCCAAGATCAACATACACCCGTCTGTCTCGCAGAACGGTAGGCTACTGTGGGACTATTAAATATTCTGTTCTATTTCATTATTCTATTCTATTATTCTATTGCTTGCACACACACACACACACACACACACACACGCGCGCGCACACACACACACACACGCACACACGCACACAATCACAATTCATAATACACTGTACATGGAATACAATATGTCCACTTATTATATATCTCGACAGCCCAGTGTAAGACTTCATTATACGTCACTTTTCAAAATGGCGAGTGGCGGAGTCTTGCACTAAAATGTCGATCCAAAAGATATAGTGACTAATCTTTTAAGCAAACCAAGAACGTAAATCACACACAGACTTCATATTTCTTGATAAATGGAACTTCAGAAGCCTGTACATAATATTTGCTCCGGAATAAGATATATTGTTTGAATATTTCAAGTCTGTGACTAGATAGTATAGTCTTTCAGGATTGTCCCGGATTTTTTTTTTCATAATAAAGGAATGCACACGTGGTAATCTGTGGAGAGACGGAACGATTTTTGGATAAATCGGAGATGAAAGGGTTTAATCCTAATGGAATACACACGTACTAGATCTGCCGTGAGATAGGAAGGTTTTGGAGTAAGTCGTAGATGAAAGGGTTTAATCATAGAGGAACACATACGTGCTTATCTGACAGAAAAGTTGTGGAAGTAAGATATAGGAGAGAAGTTGAGAAGTTTTAATCTTAAAAGAACAGACACGCGCTGCGCAGGTCCCGACTGTCAAACAAGATAGTTTTAGATTTAGTAAGAGTTTTACGGCACTTGCAACACAATAAGGCCATATAGAACAGAGTATGTGGTTTTTGTTTATTTGAGTAAAAAGAAGCACACGACCGACACAGTATTGGTCATTTAGCTCTGAGAACAAGTAAGACTGACAGACAGACAGGCAGACAGACAGACAGACAGAGAGAAAAAACAGAGGAAAAATAAAGTTGGACCTAACAGTGTCGCCCTCCAACCACACGCCTTTTGCCCATACGAGACGTTCGTTCAATTTCTAAGGAGAGATGTGGATTTTATCGAGCATCTCTCTCGTTGTGATGGGATACTGCATCCCACTCAGCGTGGGCCAGCCCTAACAGGCGATATAGAGGCCAGCCCATCTCCTTTAATAGGATCAAAATGTACGTCCGTGGGTGGTTGGTGGGTGCTCTGGTGTGGTTTGCTTCTACTTTCCTTTCAAACATCTATCGTCTGTATCTCCCCTCCTTCTTTCTTGTGTTTGTTACTCTCTTGTAGCACCTCTAATCTTCGGCACTTATATGACATTGTGTTGCAAGTGCCGTAAAACTCTTACTAAAACTAAAACAAAACGTACCTCCATTGTGTCGATTTTTAAAGATCAAAATCACCACTGAGAATATACAGTTCGACTACGGATGAGTTGAGGTGGTCGGGGAAGTGAAAAATAGATAAACTCATCCGAAGTTCAACTTAACCGTTGGGACTTGTAAAGAAGAAGAGGTACTGGGACCCGAGAAAAAAAGATAAAACTTAACCGAAGATAAGCGTAAGCGAGTTCAACACAAGTGAAGTCCTTAAAAATCCTCTCCATTTACTCAATTTGTCCAGTGCAGTAACTACTTTAAATATAACCGCTCTTCCCTCGCATTATCAGATGGTGTTGTTGTACATATTTAATTTAATGGCCCTTTCAATACTATTAGGTTATTTAAGAGTCGAGTCCGGACCACCGAATGTTATGTACATCTCTGATGATAGGAAAGATCCAAACGTGTGA